CCCACCCAACCACCCACCCACCCACCGCAAGCCTCCCCCCACCACGACCTGCGTCGATCCGCATCTCATGCGACGTCAGTTGCTGCACCGCAGGCTTCGGACTCAAATCATCTCTGGGCTCCTTCGTCTTCTCACGATCGTTCTCGCCCTTCGCATCCTTCGCGTCTCGCTCTTTGCCCTGTCCAGATTCAGAAACCGAAACCTCTAGCAAAACGACAACTCGCAGGCCTGGTGGGCGGCAGATGCACAGTTGATGGAGAAGCTGGGCGGCGTGATGCCCCCAAGGTTTGTCGTCGGCTGTTGATTACCTGCAGGGACGGAACCGTGAAAGGGGGGAGGATCATGTTCACCGTTGGACCCAACGGAACCCCTTCTGTACCACAAGACCAGACCAGGCCACGACTTGGTCCTCTGAGACAAGGCGTGAAGCAACTATTGCTGCTTGCGCCCAAGTGACTCAGAAGTGAATTGTGGCAGCCTTGCAATCGAAAGGGCGTGTTCGAATATGTCGGCCCGAAAATGCAAGGCAACCGCACTTGCTAGCTCCGACAATGTTAACTTTGGATGCTGTGGCGGTTGGAAGTGCGATTTTCCAAGGTTAGACGTGCGCCAACTGACTGTAGTTTCTTGAACCGATGTGAATCTCAGCTGCCACAAAGCAAGGCATCGGCAAGACTGGCCTTCATAAAGGCCTTCTTCCTTTTTGTCTGCACGCTGTTCGTACATGACCTCGCAAGCCGATCGAGGAACCCCAGGGCCTGGCTCCTCCATGCAAGCACCAGAAACCCGACTAGGCCACCCCGCAGTGGTGGACAGCATGGTCGAGCTCGGCGCATTATGATTTCGCTCTTGCTCGGAAATGAAGTTCACCTTAGCTGGCTCAGTGCTGCAAGGTGTCACGTGCCTCCCCGCTACAATGCAGTGAGGCTGAGGGAAGGACCTGCTGCTGAACTGCTTTACAGAAAGTCTTTTCGCCGAAGCTCGTCACGAGAGTCTTTGCCTGCGTCGTGTCTACCTTCTTCAAGACTCTTGGCATGACTCAGTCTTGACTACTCAACCTTCTTTCGGAAGTATCGGCGCCGGTCACACCTTGGCCCTTTGACTTTGCAGGGACTCCAGCACCAAGGCGAGGGTTCTCTGTGCTGAACTTGACCAAAGGCCTCCAGCACCTTTCCAGACTGCGACAAAGCCTCGAGCGGTCCACGAAACATGACGCATGTGTAGCTTTCAGCAACAGCAGGCAGGGTCAAAGGGACTGCGAACCGGCCTCTGCTGTGTAGGACACCGCGGAGGCGATTGTGCCCAAGGAAGAAGAAAATCTCAGGAGAGAGCACTGTCGGACCGAGTCCGTCAAAACACTCTTTACATGTCCGCAAAGCGTTGGCGTCCCCAAGACCAAGTTAAGGCTTAATTCTGTCGAGCGCCGTCGAGCGCAGTTTTGGGTAGTTTTGTTTCCTCGCTTCGCCCCGTGTCGCACCGCAACTCTATGAGGTTTTGCGCCGCAGCTACAGCTTCGAGTCCGCTGTTACAGAGGCTGCGTCGTTTGCCGTCTGCTATCGGCTGACAACTACCACTCTGGCGTCACATCATCCTCTACATCCTGAAAATCAATTAAGCAGCTCTATCTGAACTTTTCTGCTAAGAAGGGCTGGGCTTCAAGGTGGCAGCCCTTCAGCACTACTTCTTCACGGCTTAACCTCTGCACTCGACCGGGCGTCACAGCTCTGGCTTTGTCGTTCAAGGCTCGCTCCACTTGCCCCCAAGCGCTCGCATCAAGCCCTTAAACAGCCTCCTCAGATTGGAACAATCAACCGCAGGAGCTACTCCACATTGTTCCTCTGCTTTTATCGATCGGGTAAGAATTCACTTCGGGTGTGCAGCTGCGCACCAAACCATCTTTCTCAAATCGCAAGCATCTTGAATCAAACTGCGCTCCTTTCCCTTGGCGTCGCTCTGGCATTAGAAAATGCTGGCTACCACGATGTGTTTCAACTTTTCTAAGCTAACATAATATAAAATAATACAACATAATATAATCCAAAAAAAACATAACACAATATAAGATAAGATAATACAATACAATACAACATAACACAATATAGTGTAATATAGTATGAAACAATATAACATAATGTGATATATTATCATATCATAGAATATCATATCATATCATATCATAGCATATCAAATAAAACCATACCATATCATTTCATATCATTTCATGCCATACAATATAATATAATATAATATA